GGAATAAAGAGGCAAAGAGGCAGTGAAATCACAAAGGAAGCTTATTCAAGATGCAACAGACATTTAAAGAGATGTGAGGTCAACTAAAAGTGTTTGATTTTAATGGAGCATTTTTAGGACTCATTAGTTTGAGTCTTCTATTTTCTGAACATTGTCAAATGCACTATGCACTTATTGATTTATTTTTATTTCAGAATTATATAAAAATAATTAAATTTTTCTTGAAAATCATGTAAAATTCAGAACATTCCTAATTGTAGATTCTTAAAATGTACCTAGTTTAATTCTCATGGTATTGTATATTATGTGATTTAACCAAACATGACAGGATTCATAGGGAGTAGACTCTTGAGGAGTCCTCTGGAACGACTCATATCCTAAAGGGTTTACTAGGAAGACAAGTCAGAAGAGAAAATCTACTCAATAGTCCCTATATATATTTCCTTTGTCCCAGCATATTAAAAGGTCTCTACTGAATAAAATGACTTCCACTTTCAGGCTCAGTACTACCTTAGTTCTTAGATGATTTTTATGGTGATAGAAAAGACAACCTAAAATGACTCAATCCTCTGTCATGTTTATTAATATTAAACTACTTCCTGGTAAGACTAATATACTAGTCTAAGGGCAACAATTGGTATCCAGTGTTCTTCAAGTTCTCTGTCCTGTTAACCAAGCCAAGCAACAGCGTCTCTGGAATTAGGCCTATATTTCACAGTTGCCTCAAATCACGACCCTCCTTTGCTTTCTAGGAGAGCCAATATTTTGTGCTGAGCATCTGTCCTGAATCCTTATCCTAAAGATTAAACCAGCTGTTTGAACCTGGCTTCCCAGCACCTCAGTTGTCAGTCTTCTTTGGATGCTAGACTTTTGTTCCATTACAGATATGTATTAACTGTGAATTGATCTCCCAGCTTACAGCTGCCTGCCTGCCTATCTGGCTACCTGCCTGGATTTCTTAGCATTGCGTAGCCCAGAATCTGTCACTGTGCTCTTGTACTTGAGGCTCCAATATTAGCTGAAATATGACCGAGACTATGTCTTTCACTCACCTCCTATCTCTTCATCCAGGTGTCACATCCTTGTTAGTTTTCTTGTGCTAGGAGGTAGGTCCAATCTAGTTGTGCATCCTTTCTCCTCTCCACTGCTCCAATGTTGTGTTGAACTGATATGATTTAGAGTTGACATAATCAAAAGATAGGAATATTTATGGCGGTAGGTAATAGGAACAAATCCAGAAAAGCAGCTGAGTTACAAAATAAGTAAATGTGTGTTCTCCTGTGAAGATAGGTAAAACACAGAAAAATTTCACAATCTAGTGCAATTTGGGAATCCAAGCAGAGATATGTAAGTAGTTCATGTACGGGGATTCTGTTTAAAGATTATGGAGCCCAGGCAGGATATGTGGAACCCTCTGGTGTTCCATACCAAAATCTCCTTCTATAGAAGATTGGCTGGATAAGTCAAAGACTCTTTCTTAAAGAGACTGGACTCCACAAAGGTTATTGAGACAGAAATAGAGGAAAAGGTAATGTTGCAGTTTCTAAATTATATTGTGAAGTGGACATTAGATTGTGGATAAACTTCGGATGTAAAAATATTAAAAATGGAAATGGATATTGGAAAAATGACTTAATGGTGATTCATCTGAATATGAATTCAAGCTCCTTAAATTGTCTCAGGCCAAGATCATCACTGAGCCTCAGTTCATGGAAAGGGCAGTTATAGATACATAGATTGTAGCTCTTAATTTATTAATTTATTCCTAGTAGTCATCTCACTAATAACATTTTGACATAACTATGGCCAGTAAACCACAAAAAAAATGACATGAATAATTTTAAGGGTTGATATCTTCTCTGGACATTTATAAATGATTACTAAATGTATTTTTTACTCCTATAGAAACCTGAGATGAAAAGCCCATCTTTAGGCAGTATCTGTGAAGTTCTGTGGAAGACATACATATAAGAAACCAAACATTTTTCTCCTCCTCCCATTATATCATAGGGCTAAGATATGATTAAAATAACCATAGTTTATTGGGATATATTAGCCCATAATTTATGGAGGTATGTAAAGAATGGTCTAGATCTACCTCTATAAACAAGAAGAAATAAAAGGTCTTCTTACTTAGAACAGTGCCTTGTAATCCATAAAGAAAGATTTGAGAATAAGGAATCAGCTTCTTGTCTCTTTTTAATATATAACCAGGTCTCAAAGTAGTGTGATTTTCTGCCAAGCCAAAGTACATATGGGAGCTATTACTTTAATGTGTATTAATGTAATACAATCCTAATATTAATTGCCTGATCAATTCAATCCTAATATTAATTGCCATTCTATTGTTTCAGCTTTGTAACAAATTTAAATGTTGTACACAATTAAAATGTACATTTTCTTCCTGCAATGTAGCAAGGAACATGGCATAACATATTAAGACTGATCACATTATGAAAAATGGTAGCAGAATACATACTGGAAACAATTTATAGGAAGCTATACAGGCTTCAGTCATGTTAAAGCACACTCACAGTTGTGTGCATGTGTGTGTGAGCATGTAGGTAGGATCTCACCAGAGGATCTCATTAACAAAAAGACAACTTAATTAAAAAATAGTCAAAAGACTTGAATAGACATTTTTACAAAAAGGTACACAAATGCACAATAAGCTCTTGAAAAGGTATTTAACATAAATTTTTTATTAGCAAATGACTTGAAATACAAAATAGAACTCGAAACCATTCATATCCACTAGGATAGGTATAATAATTAAAAAAAAAATACTAGAAAATAACAAGTGTTCGCAAAAATATGGAGAAATTGAAACCCTCGTGTATCGCTAGTAGGAATGTAAAATAGTACAGCCCTGTGAAAATCTGTTTGGCAGTTCCTCAAAATATTAAAAATACAGTTACTACTTGACACAGCAATTCTCCTCCTTGGGATATACCCAAAGGAATATTTGCAAAGGAATATATGTACTTGAATGCTCATAACAGCAGTATTTATAATAGCTAAAACATGAAAACAACTCAAATTTATATCAGCTAATGAATGGATAAACAAAGTGTGGTATATCCATAAAATGGAATTTTTTTTTGACTGTAAAAAGAAATAAAGTACTGACACATGCTACAATATGCATGAGCAGGAATCTCTACTTTTCAAAATTTATGTTATGCCATTTTGCTTTTATAAAAGAACTACATTAGTACCTGCTTTTGCTAACCAGGAGAAATTAGAAGATTTTCACTTTCAAAGAAATAGTAATTGCTTCTTCGCTTTATGGCTATTTTGGCTTATGAAAGTTTTCATAGGAACACTCTATGTTCGAATAGTGGAGAAAACCTGTACCCAAAGACACTGTCCTATAGGAAAAAAGCCAAACACAAAGGCAATGTATTGTAGGATTCTATTTGTATGACATGTCAAGAATATGAGGGTTTTGAGAGGGTGATGAAAATGTTCTGGAATTAAGATAGGAGTGATAGTTGCACAGCATTATACTTAATTGTGCCCTTTATAACGGTTAAAGTGGTGAATTTATGTTATGTGAATTTTATCATATGAATAAAAGAGTCACACATATAAAACCCCACAGAATCACAATAAAGAAACAAAATCATACATTCCAAATGAAAATATAATTCACAAAATATAGGTAAGCATGATGCACTCAGTGAGCATCTAAGTGAATTTTCTAACAAGGTGTTTCAAAAGTCATTTTTCATTAGATTTTTGGAACTGGGAAATATGGTTCAAATATCACTAAATCTTGGAAAAAGGCAAAAAGGATTATATTCAAATTCTAGCAAACAATATCTATGCCCTGTTTCATAATTGAAAACTAAGAATCCTGCTTTTTTCTTACATTTTAATTTCAAGCTTATTTTATCACTGTTATTCAAACTTAATTGAATATTTAGATGGCCTATCAATATTTGTTAGCTATTATTTTATTCGAACTTAAACATATTATAATTTTGAGGTTTCTTGGTCAAAAAGTTATATTTTGGTAATTATAAAAGCATTATTTTAGTAAATTAAATACAT